AGGAAATGAAGGAGCAGGTCTCTTTGCAAATAGGATGGATGAAGAGCCGGCAGGCTAAAGATTTTCTTGTCTGTTAACTGGATAAAACATCCCTCTAGAGCTCTGGCCTGGACTGTGAAGTGACTGTGACAGTGAAGTGGCAATGTCAGGTTTTGCATGTATAGAATGAATGAAGGTTGTGAATAAGAACTTTGAAGTGCATCACACTTCAGAAGCAATTATGAAACCACCTTGTGTTTTTTGTTGCTACATCTTTTTTTGCTGCTTCTCTTTAGACTTTTAATTTACAGATGTGGGAAACACTTTTTTTTTTTTTTAAAGTTGGTGCTACAAATACAATTTGCTGAAGACCTTGCTCTAGGCTGGTGTTAGATCGATTGTGAGTAACTCTACCCCAAAGAGCACTCGGAACTCTGTGAACCATCTGGTGTTTGTGTTTCAAATATCAAAATCTACACCTAGAGCTTCATTGAATTGCAATTTCAGATGTGTTCTCACCTGTCCTTTGGTAGGTCACAAAATTACTGTCTGAACTCTGACTGTGTCTGGGACACTTGAATTTACTTGGAATAGGATGGAAAATGTTTCACTGACCTCTGAATAAAGCAGAACCAGTTGTTTGAAGGCAGCTCCCTGTGGTGGTGCTGTCAGCATAATGTGCCCTTGTTTTCTTCCTTGCCTGTTGACATTATTTGGCTTCTGTTTAAAAAGTTTGCTCAGCTGTTTTTAAATGATCTTCTGACTGGTAGTCTGTTCTCCTTTGTGGTGCTTGTGTTACGATTTTTGTTCTGTTTGAAATGTTTCTCTCTGGCAAGTACATTGCAGTTGTCTGGTGTTGGAATTTTATGGACAAAGAAAAAATGTAGGCAGCTAATGTGGGTCACATCTTCTGAGGAACCAACTGTGAGATGAAATCTGGCCTTCTCTTTGCTTTTGAGTAGCAGAAGTTGAGCATGGAAAGGATAATCAGACCAGGAATATCTTCTGGGAATATTTTGTTGCAGGCTCAAACATACTAAATCTGTGGGAGACTGGACAGATTAATGTTTTTCCTTCACTTCTGGAACTGAGGGCAACATTTCTGCAATGCTCTGTGAGGAAAAGGGCCTTTGTGGCTGCTTGTTTTTAACAGAATAGGCTATATTGGTTACAACCAGTCAACAAGCAAGGTAATTTTGTGCCTTTTCTGTAGAATTTTTTTTTTTAAGATCTGCTGTGGGATTTGTTTGGTCTTCTACTGTTATATTCTGGAGCCCAACATACAGATTTTTGGCTTTTAATAGAAATTAAAATTTGAAATGAAAATTGGGCTTTGATAGAAATTTAACTATCAAATACTGTTGATGGCTTAAATTCTCATTTCTGATAAGCCTTCTTAGGGATTTGTTGACCTCTGTCACCATCAGGGCATACTCTCCATCTGGATTTCTAGTGGGCTGGCTGCTGAAATGATATGGAAAATGTTTTTGTGTTTGTACTGCAGTAGTATTTGGAATTGGGGTCACTTTGTGTTGAACACTGTGCACATACAGCAAGGAGACTCTGCCACTGAAAGCTTTATTTCAGTAGCATACTCTTCCCCTTTAGTTCCAGCTCAGTTCTCTTCTACAAATGAAACACTTGGTGTTTTTTTTGTTATTTTTTCTTAAAATGTTTGGGTTTTTTTGAGGGGGGAAATATTATAGATGAGAAATGTTGCTTCTTACTGCCATGTGTGCTAATTTTGAACTCAGATTGAATGTAAAGTTAGGTGTTTATGATCCATCTAGTGATGTGGGTTAAATATAATGTATAACTTACTCAAACTGGTGAGAAATCAGTGAGAAACAGTATCAGGAGTCCTGAAAACAGGCCCAGCTCTTCACGTACTCCTTTAGCACATGTTCTGGGGTGCCATGGCTTCCCCCTCTACCTGTAACAATTTGCACCCTGCAGGGAGGTCGAGCTTTTGGCAACGCTTGCAAATACCTTGGTGTTTCAGTGTCTTTGTGATCAGTTGTTTATAGAGGATTCTGGCATTTAAACCCCATGACAAGCCCTTTTGTCCCAAAGCCAGAAACTGCTTCTCTAACAAGTTGAAAGCTTCAAATTCTGGAGATTTTCAACCCACACAAATCCTGATTGTTTCAGTGTTGTGCTCTGGAGTGCCTGGTGCTTTGGTCCTGGGGATTCCTGTTGATGCCCATGGGCTGGGAAATGCAGAGTCTGGACAGGGGGATCCTTCTCTGTTGTGTGGAGAACAAAGCTGGTCTAAGGACTGACCAGCCTGGGCAGCTCTGCTCCACACAGCACTCTGCTATAATCCTGTCTGAACCCTTCCACCTGTAAGAATGCAGCAGAGGCCTAAAATACCTCCTAATGCCTTTGCTGAGAAGTCAGGCGTTAGGACATGCTTACCTTGGTGTAAGACAAGCTGTGACAGGCTGAGAATCCTCCAGCTAGCCAGGTGGAGTTACAGGCTGTAGAAAAGGTTGTCACCCATCAGTGAATGTGAAGAAAGATCTGGTTTTCAGGAAGACCAGCAGCAACTGCACAGGCTTTTCTACACAGCAGTTCTGTATTTGCCTCTTCTAGAGCCCCAGATCTTCCTCTTCAGAACATGGGAAGTACCTGAGCTCTTCATCAGTGACGTTGAGTTTAATGTTCCCAATTTGCTAGGTGAAGTAGGCTTGTTGCTGTGGGGAAATATTTTTGTCTGGCTGAGAATCCCCATCCTACCCTGTCATCTGTTCTGATTATTGTAATGGTTTTTAGAAAACACGCTGAAATACCTGTTCCTGAGTGGTGTTACCTCTCAGCAGGCATGTCTGATTGCTCTAGCTTGCCATGAGTCTCACTTATCTCTCATCTCTGCAGCTGTCAGCCTCACAAAGGTGCTGTGCAGCTTTATTAAAGCTGTCCCAGGGAAGTGTGATTCTGGACTGGCTGAAAGCCTCATTTTCTTGCCTGAGGAAGTCATGACTGTGAACAGTTGGAGCCAAACTTACCTGTTTGGAAATTGTGGTCTGCTAAGAAGCTGGACCTCTCCTCATCTCATATTCTGGAGCAGAAACAGACATGGAGAAAGCTAGATGCAGAGCAGAGAGCCTACACTTGTACTTGGTGCCTCTGCTGTACTGAAGTTCAGTTTCCTTTT